CAGCTGCAAAGCAGGGCTGCAAATCCAGGCACTCTGGATATTGTTTTGTCCTTCAGTGGGATTTGGGAGCAGATGAAATTAACTGAATTCATCACACACAAATGCCTGTCAGCTGTATGTCTCCTGTCATGTAAACAAACACATATTTTCTTTCTGTCCTGCATGTTTCCCATAGTGGAATTACAAACCAGTACGCTATACGATGCTCCTTGCAGCATGAAGTTCCTCACCCTTGCTTTGCAAATCTTTCACAAGCCAAGCTAAACTGAGGCATCTATATCTGCCTCCAGAAGGGCTTGAAAATGCTCCGTATTTCCCACCAGGATCATCAGGCACATATAGTTCAGCCAAGTAACGAGGCAATGCTGAATACAGGTTCTGCACTATGGCCTGGGCAGGATAGGTGCTGGTGGGGCTGGACCAAAAGACATCTGACTAGACAGTGCTAAGTGCTCCCAGGGAAGAGGTGAGCTTGGCAAACCCCAGTCTCTCAGCTACAGTGGCTAAATCTAAAGCGATCTTGTGCTTTCACAGTGACTTTTATTTACCTCAACGGATGCACTGGCTATATGCAGTGTCCTTGATCTGGATTCTGGCCTGAGCTATTTTAAGAAACAATCCTGACTACTGACAGGGTTTTAAAATCTAAAATACAAGTCCACACTCCTTTACTCCTCAGCGTAAAGCCCAACCACCTCACTGGTGTGGAACGAGGTGTGTAGAAGTGGGTGGAGTTGGTAATCAGAGAGGTCACATCTCCCATTATTGTTGTAATGATTGTTTTTTGCCAGATCACTTATTTTTATTTTAATTTTTATCGTCAGCATCAATATAGTGGCTCTGGGCTCTACCCCAGGCTTCATGGAGAGCTACCTTGCAGTTTCTCTGGTCGGTTGGGATGTGGTCCTTCCTGGCTCAATTCATCTTCATTTGCATTGAGCCAGGCAAGGGCAGTGAATACTCAGCAGCTGTATGTGCAACCCAGGAAATTCAGCCCCCTGTTTATCTGCTTGGCTGAGGGATTTCCAGTCTTTTGCCTCAGTGGGAATTGCCAGCACTTTCTTTTAAGGAGGTGCCTTGCAGCTTTTACAGACCTCATTAATTGTGTGAAGCTTCCAGTAGCACAGATAAGGGTCCTGCAGACTTCTGGTAATAGGACTTCGACCCACAGAGGTACCGTAATGGATGATGAGCCCATTAGGGTACACATGTGGGTTACAGGAATGAAATGACCTCAGTATGTCATCTCCAGTTTTACTGCTTTTATGTCTCAGTGAAGTCTCCAGGGGAGATTGTTCCTAGCTCAGTGTCTTCATTGTAAAAATGTGTGGGGTTTTGGGTGTTTGTTTTTTTTTTTTTTTTTCTTTTTCATCAAACTTGGTGGGTGAAATTCAGGTATGTTCTTGCTGGCTACAAACTGGTGGAAACAAAGAAGAGCTCTCAAAGTCAGCCTTGTGCTTATCAATGTTGGAGCTTCTGGTTGTAGAGGATGCCACAGTCGTCTGAGGTGGCAAGAAATATCCACTGGTCAGTGGAGAAAGCTCACACATAAATATGTGGGACCTGGCAGGTTAATTTAAAAGGAGCAAGTGGGTCCAGAGAAAAAAAGGCCATAGCTCAGATCCTTCACTATATGATATTATAGCAGTGAAACAAACCTTGAATTTTTGAGAACAGGCCCTTTAGCCTGTAAAATCCTGCAGCAAATATTCAACCTTTTCCTTCTTTTTTTTTTTTCCTGTATCTTTAATAAAAGATGAAAGAGATTTTTTTTTGTGGCTGTCATTGGTATGGCACTGACATAGCTATAGCATTCCCACCTGAACTGACAGTTATCTACACTTGATAGAAAAAGTAGAGGGAGAGGGAAAAAAATCAAGCCTTTGAATATAAAATATTAGGTAAGAGTTTCATTTTGACAAATTTCCTTTTTCTTGTTTACTTCAGCTGTTGAAGGTCTCACACCTCTCTATTTTACCAGACATGATCTCAGCACAGACCTTGAGTGGGATCAGCAGGTCTTCTCGTCCAGACAAACCCGGTTTCTCTATCTGTAACTTTTGCTGAGTATTATAATCACATTTTATGTAAAGGTACTGAGTTGGACTTTGATAATTTGGACAACCTGGAGCAGGACTCTCTTTCTGTAGGGTTTTTCCCTAGACTTTGATAGTAGTATTTTTCTGCAGGCTGAAGGGTGAGATTTAAGTGCATGCTTGCTGCTGTCCCTCTGCCATTAGAGGACTCGCACCGCTTCCTGACCTTGCAGAGGTCCTCAGGTGCCTGATGTTGTAGAGATCGCAGAACCACCTTTGCTTGTGCTTAAACCCTGCTGTTGTTAACCTGTTTTTGAATCTCCCTGCCTGAGTTCACCATGTAGTTTGCTTCCATACTTAACGCAGGCTCAGCCACTTTACAGTTGGGCTGATGAACTGCTCACAAGCTTCAGGGCACAGCTTCATCTGCTTTAACAAGTCAAGTCCTCTCTGGCAGAGGGAGGGGACAGTTTTGGCAATGCATTCCTCAAAGAGGTGCTGAAACACTAACCAAGTACAGCCCAGCCAGCCTGCCAGGACTGTGCTTAACGACTGCTCCAAATGAGATTGTAATTTGGGCTAAGGCAAGTGTAAACAGTGGTATGACATGACCAGCCTCCTGGGCACTTGCATTGGGACAAAAAAGTCTCAGTTCTGCTAATAATTCATTGCAAACACATCTTGCATTTTTAATTTTTTTTTAAATAAGAAATTTCTATTAATATGAAACATAGGAATTATTTAAAAATAAAATCTTGATCTGTTTTGAAGCCTTATCCACTACAGCCACCCAATACAGGAGTTAACCAGATAAGAGAGGTGAGGGAAAAGGGAAACGAGATAAGTAAGAAAATAATTTGTCAAATAGGTGATAAGATATGCCAAACCAGTTCTCATGGTCAACTTGTCAGGCCAAGGCTGTCTCCATAGGATGGCTCTGAGGGCTGAGCCTGTTCAGCTGAGGACCCAGACCATTTGCAGGCATTGTAAGACACATAAAAGCACACAGTGCGAATGCTCTCCATTTCAGTTTACCTTCTCCAGGGAGAGAGTCAATGTGCAACCAGCTGGAGGACTGCTGAAATGTACATGATTCTCTTGCATTTCCCTCACTTCTGCTGAAAATAAACATTGGAGAATATAATTCTGATCTTTTTCTTTTCATTTATTCTTCAAAATAAATAACATTTTGAAGTCTGTGGTTCTTTTCTGCTGGGATATGGCCTTTGCTGCAGTGTTTGCAGCAATGTATGCCTGTGTTTTGTTCTGCCAATGTTACATTCAGGAACCGAGACAGAGCTCAATCACCCTGAAGATAACAGGCAGGCAAAGGCTGACATTGCCAAAACTTTTGAAATAACCTGTAGAGGAACTTGCATGGCACAATTTGCCTTTGTAGGGCAAGACTAAAAGCAGGATAAAACTTGCTAATGTCTGAGTGCTGGGGACAGAAGAAAACATTGGAGTGTCACTTCGAGTAAGTAACTAGAAGGTCAGACAGTGCTCTTTGTATTAGCACTGAGACAGTAAAGAAGCCTCAACAGCCCCCTGTAAGCTCAGGAATGCAACTTACATTTCTGAATCACCGATTTTATTCTTGGTCTTCTATGTGAAACGTTTTCTGATGTTTTACTGTATCTCAATTCTTTGCCAGGGATCCGAGGGAAAACAGGGTCCTCCAGGAATTAAAGGCTACGTAGGCGCACCGGTAAGTCATGGCTCTTGTTAAATTTTTAATGCTCTAGAAACTTTCTCTACTTTTTCAGTGTGTTCTGCCCAGCTGTATTTTTATTATTATTATTATTAAGCAGTGTAGGGTATGTCTGATCATTTACCTGTACTATGTCCAAATAGTGTTATTTCCAGTTTCTTCTGATTTCTTTAAATGAGAACAGACCTGTAGCCAGTAGAGAGATGTCAGTAGAAATTACTTAAATACTGAGATAACAGGTAACTGGTGATTTTGTGATGCTTCCACTATAATGTAATTGCCTTGGTCTGTGCTGATGCACCATTTATATGGTGCTTGAAAACTTCATCATAACATCAAGAAAAAATACTGTCTCTCAGCAAGTTTCCAATAATTTTCAAAACTGTCAGGGAATAGCCTTTGGGCTCAGGAGACAAACCTGCCTTGAATGAACAGGCAACAAGACCAAAATAAATCAGATTCTATCAAGGTGTCGTCTCTGTCTTGTGGTCTCACCTTGGTAATTATGGAGGCAGTCTTTAAGCTGTTGTTGTAAAGGCTGATTGGATTTTCTGAGAGTCAAAGACCCGACTGTGTTGGGGCAACCCCTGGTATCAAATCAGCCTGGGAGATGAAGGGATTGAGAGCAGCCCTGTGGAAGACTTGGTTGTAGTGGTGGATGAAAAGCTGGACATGAGCCAGCAACATGTGCTCGCAGCCCAGAAAGCCAACCATATCCTGGGTTACATCAAAAGCAACATGACCAGCAGGTCGAGGGAGGGGATTCTGCCCCTCTGCTCTGGTGAGACCTCACTTGGAGTACTGCCTTCAGCTCTGGGGTCCTCAGCACAAGAAGGACGTGGACCTGTTGGACCGGGTCCAGAGGAGGGCCACGAAGATGATCAGAGAGCTGGAGCACCTCTTCTATGAGGACAGGCTGAGAGAGTTGGGGTTGTTCAGCCTGGAAAAGAGAAGGCTCTGCGGAGACCTTATTACTGCCTTTCAGTACTTAAAGGGGGTTTATAAGAAAGACAGGAACAAGCTTTTTAGTAGGGCCTATTGTGACAGAACAAGGGATAATGGTTTTAAACTAAAAGAGGGTAGACTTAGCCTAGATATAAGGAAGTTTTTTTACGATGAGGGTGATGAACGACTGGAACAGGTTGCCCAGAGAAGTGATAGATGCCCCATCCTGGAAACATTCAAGGTCAGGCAGAATGGGGCTCTGAGCAACCTGATCTAATTGAAGATGTTACATTACATGACCTTTAAAGGTCCCTTCCAACCCAAACTATTCTATGACTGTACATCACTGCATTTTAGTGACATACCAGACGTGCTCATGCACTGAAAGATTACCCTGTGCTGGCCGAGGACTTACTTTACAGCTCACTACAAAGGAGTCCAATGTGTTCAAAACAGCTTGAGCACATTTGCCTTTGCCCAGGTGCGTGTTGCTTCCCTGTACGGTCAAAGGCTGAATTGTATTAGGCTTGAAGATGATGAAACGAATATGGGGGTGGCATTACCTGACCATGTGATAGACTCTTGCAATATTAATGAGATAAATGGACAAAGCTATGAGAACACTTCCTTCTTGCTCCTCGAGTCACCTTTTTGTGTGAGAAGCAAAGCATTCATGTGGTGCCCCATTGCTGAAGGTCCTATCCATTTCTATCATAAGATTGACATTTGGCTTGGGCTGCTGGGGATGAGCAAGGCAATAATCATCTACTTAGTCTACATGAGGGCCCCATAGTTAGTGCATTAAAGGAGTCCTATTTTTTAACCTCCTGTCATTTGATTTTTTGAAATAGCAGGGTTATTTCTTTGCAGCGTAGGAAGCTGTGCAGGCTCAGTTTGGATTGTTAGGGATGGACAGGGCTGTACAGAGTTTGCTCAGAGTCAACCATGGCCTGAAATATGAAAATCTTAATTATCTAAATCATCCTAAGGGCCAAATAAACCCAGACATGTTGCTGTCATTAGCTTGGAGGTAAGCCTCCACTATAGTGTAAAGTAAACTGAAGTTTAAATACAAAGGTATTATTAGAATAAGAAGCCTTTTAAGCTTTGGCAGTTTTAAAGAGGTCAGTACTGACTGAGCATATTCGTCTGCCTGTAGCTATTAGTTCGTTGCTCAGTTGCTACAATAAAGGTAAAATACAAGGTGTTTGCAATACCAAGGAAAGGTGAAATCTGTTCCTGCCCATTGAGTCAATTGTCTGTATTAGCAACACCTTTCATCAAACTAAGCCCCAGCAAATGGTTCTGGTGTACCTGGGAGGAGATGAATTATGCAGTCCAGATGAGCACTGGCATTGGATTCACAGCACAAAAATGTGCTTGGGCCTCCAGGACAGGGATTATCTAGCATTTGCCAGTTCACAGAGGTACCTGCTGTCTGCCTAGCTACCGCATTCAAAACCACCAAGAATGGGCATTCTTGCTTGTTTATGCAGTAGGTTTTTCCATCAGTATCATTGTCTACCTAAGTCCTCATTGTTTACGAGCAACATGAAAAATGCAGAGCGTTGGTTGTTTTCCAGACCATCTGCAGCTGTGGTGTGTTCCCTGTCCCTCCACGCTGCTGTTGGCAGGAAGGTCGTGCGTCTGCAGGCAATATAATATTACAGACGTTCTTGGGCCCACAGGTCATCCCTGCTCTGTAAGTCTGCTTAGACCATGCTTGCGGCCAACTTTGAGGACTGGCAACACAGAAAATGTCCTTGAGGTTCACTTGAACAGATTGTGCAGATGTGCACAGTGATTTGGTGACTAGTTAGAGGAGATAACTATGCCTCTACTTGGATTGAGCTTTATAATCTCTTTTTCTTTTTATTTTTAGGGTCTACAAGGAGAAAGAGGAGAAAAGGGAACACGAGGAGACAAGGTATTCCTGTTGCACGCTAGGAAAAACCAGGCTGGTCTTTGCCTTTGCCCATATGTGGGGTGGGCTGCCAGGCCTGAGCTCTGGAGGGTGATTGATGATGGAGCTTCCTTACTGTGCCGCACCTCCCAGTGCTGTCTGGGGATGACCTCCCATGGGAGTGCAGTAGGGCTTTATGGATCTCTGCTGTCTACTAAGCACACATTTAGGGACGTCTTGTCTGTGTGTAGCCAGGGACGGAGGAGAGAGAGGAGGAGTGGAGTGAAGTGGAGGTGTGCCACTGAGGAGATCTACCGGGGTGTCCACATTGTGTGCATCACCTGAGAGCTGTGAATGACCACTGACTGCTGCTGGCCATTTCTGCATCCAGCATTTCCCCATCTCACTGCAGTTGCCCAGATTGTTCAACATCCTAAGTTTCTGTCTTCTGCCATCACCATCAGTAGTAGTATGTACCAGGTAGTTTCTATGTTAAAAGCTTCATCCAACTGGTGCTGCTTCCCAGTTCTCTGATCTCTGCTGTCTGGCAATAGCTGTTTTACAGAGCATAGGACACTGGGATTTGAACCACATTTACAATTCAGGAAAGAGACCAAATGCCTATTATACCTGGAATAAGCTTTTAAAAGGAGAGCTGGGCAGACACAGACTTTATTATTTGTCTGCTCGTTGTGTTTGGAGACACCTCAGATGTGCATACACTTCTGCTACAGACCTGCCAGGCAGTGCTTGAGGCTCCCCAGAAATGCCATCAAAAATGCATTTTGCTGTCCCTGCCAGAAGTGTGTGCTGGCCCACTCTGCACCCCAGCAAGCAGCTGGAGATGGGGCATCAGCAAATTCTCAGCTGGACCCAAATCACCCCTTTTCTCATGCAGGCAAAACAGGCAGCAGGGCCTTTCTTGCCAGCTCTGAATGGCTTGCAGCCCTAAACAATGTGCTGTCTTGATGTGTCTCAAGCTTGTCCTGAGACGGGAATATCTCAGTGCTGGTCTGGCAGCTTTGCCTGTGTTCAAGCTGTCTTTAGTTATATCTGGCTATATGTGCTTGTGCAAAGGAGGGAGTTATTAGCTTGTTAGCACAGCATCATTCCCATTTCTTACTCTCCAGCTCCTTCTGGAGAAGAAATCCAGAGATTTACAGCAAGCTTTCGCGTACTGGGAAAAATGATCAATAGATCCTTAGTGTGAGATATTGTGTTTTGCTTTACCATGTGTTAAGGTGTCCGTTCCCAGTGTCCATTTTGTTGTTTATGATGAAGTAGCCACGATTGTGTTTCGTATTATCTATCCTCACCACTGCAGCTAGAGCACAAGGTTGGAGTGTACTTTATCTTCCTCATGCTTTTGCCTCAGTCCTTTGCAGGACTGGCTCAGTGTGTTGTGTCTAGCCAGTGCCTCTGCTGCTTTTCCGGAGGCGAGGTTGTCTAATCTGCTGGAATATTTGGCTCCCGGAAGAAAATCCATCTTTCTGACATCACCGTAATGGGAGAGGAAGCTGGAGTTGCATGTGGGCAGGCAGCTGACTAAGCTAGAGGAAGATTAAAGTGGGCAAGAAATGGATTAGGTTTTGTTTTATTAAAAGGATATGCACAACTAAAGCTCCCCCCCTTTTTTTTTTCTGAAGCAGACAGATCTCTGCTACAACAATTGTACTTTGATTTTTTCCAGGCTTTAATGACGATCTCAGAGTATCCACTGCCATTGCTTTAAGTTCTACCAGTCAGTACTACTGTGAAAACAGTGGGCGTAAATTTGACGGGCCAAATATTTTCTTGCTGATTTTCAGTCTGTAACTTGAATACCGACACCTACGCAACCTGTGTTTCTTTGTGCCTGAGAACAAAAGTGGTTATTATATCAGATGAGAGCACTAACCCATGCACTGAGCATTGGTCTATCGAATCTGCACCCAAGTATCAAAAAAAGGCTAAATATCCCATGGTAGATCTTACTGCTACATCCTTGTATCCTGAGACCTCAGATGTAAACATTGAGTTTTTATAGTGAGGTTCCCAAATCCAGTAGCACGAGTTACACCTGCACTTTCAGAGAGCCGCTGCACAATATCAGCGATATCTCATGTTTTTTTGCATCCCGTGGGCTCACTGTAGACCCCAGGACAAACTCCGCAGAGACATGCATGATGCACTTCTCTGCCAACATAAGCCATATATGTATGTGATACTTGGCACATTAATTCAGGCACATACATGACATGGGGCATTGCTTTTGCTGCATAAGAATGTGTCCATCCTGTAAATCCTTGTCTGTTGTACTGGAGAAGAATTCGTGTAAGGAGGCAGCAGGGCTGGTCTGCTGCTGCCAGGTCCCTCTGTGCAGTGGGTTTGCTCTCCGTCAGACTTTCCCAGGGCCCTGCAGACTCTCAGGGAATCATTTTTCCAACAAATCATTACACTTTCGAACTGGTAGATGTCAGAAAACAGCACTAAAGTTTCTGTGGAATTGGGATTTCCTCTGGTTGCTTATGACGCTTCACCATTTTGTTCCACTGGTTAAAAGCAGAAAAACCAGTAGAGCACAGGAAAAGAAAATGGAATCTTAAAGTGAAAGTTTGAGAATAAAACTTTTATTGTGTTGGTTCTTTCTTTTGGGAAAAAAACCCTTTCTCTAAATACTCTTTTTTAAAGAATGGAAAAAGTAACAAAAAATATTTATGATGACAGATTTTTCTGAAGAAACAACTGAAAGCACAATCATTTGGAGTGTTTTCAAACAACTTTATTGTATACATTTGTATAAATAATGCATTTGCCTTTCCCAGCCCCCATTACTAGCAGTAAGAAAATGTTGACACTTTTCTGTTCTGGCAGCTAAAACAGCATGTGTGAAGTGCTCATTGCTGCAGTGTATTGATGTTAAAAATTCTCTTGAGAATACACTGCACACTTTGTCAGCAATCCACCACCGTTGCTTACTGAGTGTCTCAAATTCAGCACACTCGTAGTTCAGTCAGCGCAAAGGAAACCATTAATGTGGAAACTATCGCCCCAAAAACTAGTGGATCTGGATGTCTGCTGCTGGTTTTCAGCTGCTTTCTGTAGGGTACGGTTCTCTCTAATTTCATTCCTTGCATACATAAGTTTGAAATAACATTTAGGTTGCAAGACTGATTGACTTTCTAAAGGGGAAAAAAGAAATAAATTTGTTCGAAAATCCATTTCTGACTCGCTGAATCAGAAGTAGTTTTCAAAAGGAACTAATTAAATCCAATGTCGTCGTAAGTGTGGGTTTGCAGATAATAACAGAGGTTTAATAGGGATCCTGTGGGGTAGTAATCAGAATTAAAATGTCTGAAACATTAAAAGAAATAGAATAAAACTAACATTTTGCTGTCACTGCTTGTACTTGTAGAATTTGTTTTTACATACACATTTATGTTAACAGTGGCACTGTGTATGTATTTGATGATTTATATTCAGCTGTGTGTGCAGGATCCAAGCAAAATCAGTGTCTTATTTTACAGAGGTTTAAGCATTTTACAGAGTAAGAGAAATTTCAAAGAGTTTTAAACTAAAGAGGCTGGAATGGACCAGGGCCACAATCTA